ACATGGGAGGTTGGGAGTGCCAAGACAGGTGGGGCGTCCACCTCAACTTTTTCAAGGTCCACCTGACCTGTGTACTCGCCGGTGTGGCCAACTATCTAAGATATCTAGCTTACTAAGTGATGGCTAAGCGAAGTCGAACCCCAGAGCAGGCGGAAAGTACGTCCCGATGTTCCAACACCACGCGCTGGCCGTGACACGTATTATATTGGAGGATGTGAAGGGGCTTGATCATAATCAGTCAGCCCTAGTGCGTTTCCGTGATACTGAGCGGGTCCTCGTCATAGGAGCCGTGGTAGGTGCAGTAGTTGGCACCGGGGTCTTCGGGAGGGAGACAGTAGGGGTCTCGCTGGCCGAGGTCGATCGTTCTCGGTGTGCTACTCTACTGCGGATCGTTTCGTGGGTAATGTATCGCCGATGGTAAGTCAACTGGTATAATAGCTAGGTGTAAGGCTTCCTGCTGTATTGCGGATTGGGTACGAGCACTCTGGCGCGTTCCTTCAGACGAAATAACGCTCTGCGAGCCATTCTTTCGTTTACGGCGACTCCTAGGCATCGGGGTCACTGGAGCGGGCACTCTGGCTCGCTCTGTTGACCGGCGTCCTCCCGGTCAGGCTGCGGGGGCGCATCCACTCCGTCTGCAGCAAAATCCATTCTATCATCTGAGGGGCCGATACGGCAGTTAGCAGTCAGAATATCCACGGTTTCGCGTTGCAAAAAATTGCAGGCGTCAGCTACCTACTGTATAAAGTTGACTACCGGTTTAGGAAGCTGTTTTCTATTCAATTCGTTAAATAAAAGGTATTGTAGAGCATCTTTATTGAGGTTCAAAACGCAGTTGAGAAAATTCCGATTATATTCGCTTACCGCCTCGGGAATCCCTATAAAGTTAGGTTCAATCGATAGCGGCTGGGGTTGATAGTAAACCGGCTGATTCTAGAGGCCGTAGCCGTCGTGGTGGTTGAGTGATTTCAAAAATTTTGTTCGCGTCGAAGTTGTTGTTTCCTCGTCCACGCAGTGTGGTCCCTCACGTTCCCTCACGAACGAGTTTCGCACGGAATGGCCACCCGAAGGCTCTTTGTTCTCGCACGATCGACCTGACAGGTTGTGGAACTGAAAAGAGTTTAGTTTCAGACTGCTTTGTGAATGTTCGCGGTAGTGTATCGCAAACTGATAGAGGCGCCTTTTTCTCACTTTTATGGTCTGTTATTTCATGTGGGTCCTGATCGTCGTGTGCGTTTCAATTCAGAAGCGGCGGCAGGTACATGTATCTCTGGAAGAGACTTTGATCGACTGATACTGAGAAAAACATCCTTGAATTCATGAAGCTTTCGCTTAAGCCTTTGAAATCTCAAAGGAAAAATTTCTCGTATCTCACAACGTGCTCGTGGTCCGCGGAAGGAGGACAGCAATTTGAGGAGATCGTTGGGACCTGAGAAATAACAATAATATCCGGAGGCCTAATCAAAACAAAATAATATGATAACACTCATCAAATGCTCTTGGTGCAGTCACTAAGAAGAAGAATTGGTAGCCTAGAAGAGCTAGTGAAATCTACTTTTGGTAGGTCCGTATCACAATGCGAGATTAGCGGTTACCAACTTGAAGATGTACGAATTCGAGGCTGCTATTACTGAACAATGGCAGGCTCCACTATAAGGGTACCAACCAGGGTATAACAGACTACATATAATCTACCCAACAACGATGTGTTATACCTAGCATCTTGCGACGAAGCCAGGATAGTTGCGAAGAGTCCACATCAGAGGTCCACCCACCCATTAGGACTAACTTCAAATTGCCAATCCTCCGGGAGGCCGTCGAACCAGGATTCAATAAAGACTGCCTTTAAAAATCACGCACGGAGGAAGCGCCCATCCGGAAGCATTCGCCCATCCGGAAGCATTCGTACACTCGATCACCGTCACCCACCCACGATTTCCAGGTTGTAAAAGTGATCGCGACCGTAGTATCCACTTCTCGTAATAGCCTTCGCGGTTGCCGTTAACCCCATCGCGAAACCGGTCTCATCAAAGTTATAAACGTCATCGGGGTCGATCCCAAATTGAAGGACAGTTTTTTCACTAGGTTAAACCACCCCGTAATGACTTTAGGATCCTCACATTTCGCACGCTCTTAGTTACACCGTTTCGAGAACTGGCAGAATAGGAGAGGGCTGGGGAGCTGATCCGCGAGAGTCCATGGAGAGTATCCATTTTTGAAGAGATTCCTCTTCTGTCTCTGTAAGTTTATGCGAATTGGCGCGAGAAATCGCGCGGTTTTGAACACCGCCTAGGCGGCGGCGTAAAGAGGTTTTCTGCGCTTTAAAATAACGTGCTGCCTCACGAGGTGAAGAGATTTCTTGATCCTTGATGGTCTTAATAGCTAAGATCCTACCCTCCTGTTCTATTGGATTTCTAGAGGATTGAGAGCGAATTGGTGGCATAGTGGTTGGTTAAACTAAGATCTAATTTATGAACGCGTTTTGGGTGGGGTGCGCCGCTCGCATGTGAAATACGTTAAACAAGCGTTGTTAACTAATTGTTACCAGCCTATTAAAGGTCTGCAGCTATTTTAACTCGTATACATAGCAGACTAAATCCCTCCAGGCAGACTAATTATTCAAGGCAGCAGCGTTGATTTCCCCCATTTCGGGCTTGGCATCGCCGGGCCGTCAAACCACTTGCTTAATAAACAAAGACCTTGGCTTCTGGATTTCCACAAACCTCATATTTGATTTTTACACAACTCACAAGTAAAGCCAAGAAAAGAAACATCAAAGTGAAAATGTGCCAAAGAATATGTTCCGCCAACAAACACCCGCTCTCTAGAGCTCGCAAGATACAGGTCCTTATCTCGATGGTTTCGTGGCCGTGCGCTCTCGCGGCCGTCTTTACGAGTCGTGATGGCCCTCAAGCATGGATCCAGCTCATTGTAGTGAGTCTTCCTCTCCTACTATGATAGAATACCATCTAACAATTCGAAGATCACAGTTTCTAGCATCATGCCTGTATTCATGCTCTTCAGGCATCGCAAATCCGGAAGTCAATCTTATTCGCTCCTTGAAACCGCTATTGATGGCTTGGTCGCATTGCTCCTGGTCGGGGTATACACCTCCGGAATGATCCTCCTTTCTACTCAACGGATTAGCGAATGGGAATCTCCCTGGGACTACACGATTGCCCGTGGTCTTCCCCAGGTTTACTCCAACCTCTCATGTATCATCCTCGGGTAAGTCGGTCCAGCAATCAAATATCACCTGGTCTTTCAAATATACTAATCCCCCTAGTCTGTTATATTTGCGCACCTTTTCTCAAGGCTTCTTCCAAAAATGCATCATGCCTATGCTCAAGGCCCGCCGCGTCAACTACACCCTTTGCCCAGCCTGTGACCAATTTGTGGATGTTCCGATAACCAAGAGTCAGGATGTGACTATGAGCGCGGCGGGACAGGAAAGATCCTTTGGCTCGATTGATAGTCTTCGGGGTTTGTACTGTGATGATGTTGGGTCCCAGCTGTTGCTACCCGAGAGCTCCTTAGGCATGGAGGGTAAGCAGACTACTGGAATTGTGTCAAATAGCTGAAGCTTTGGTATGCTAAGAACAAAGCTCTGATATGGATGCAAGGGCCTAATCTTTTGACTTGATGCAGTTCTTTACTGCTTCGGTCAATGAGATCGAAGATGACGACTATGTGACACAGGATCGCCAAGATTGTCAAGGAAGTACAAACAGCCTCTTTGTCCGAATCTTGGGGCTTTAAGTTGACACCCGTTTTTCGCTTAAGGATGATCAGTAGCACCATTACGATGAGTCTTTTTCACGGCAACGCTTCCCCAATACCGCATTCGGTCATGTCTAGGACAGGCGTTCGAGCCTATAGTAATGGACTATGCGTGGCTCTCAACTTTACGCTATAATCAATTTAAGGACCCGAATGGTACTGTTCTCGATCCGAGGATTACAACGAAGGAAACAAAACCACACCGTAGATTAACTGCTCCCCCATAAAGCTATGTATGAGTCAACCGTCAATGGGTTGAGCGCAACGTCACAAGCTAACTTCCCGTCGTACTGGTCTCCTCCTATCCACAAAGCCACCTGAGACCACCAGCTGCTCTTTCCAACCTCATTGTAGTCATGAAATCCAAGTATTCAGGATACCAGCTAGCAGGCTCCTAATCAAGAAAAACCGGTGGATGGCCATCATCTCCGACGAGATATTATGAGCATTGAATTCACCATGGGTGAAAGTAATCCGGTGGGAGTACTTGCGAATTTCATTTGCTTGCCCTAAAGTCTGAATGTATTCTGCAGTCGAACTGAGGCCGTGTTTAGATGCAGGGCTTTAAAGGTAATCATGGATGATGATGATGATGATGATGATGTATTCATTTGCCCGATGTAGCTCGCTATATATATGTTGAAATATACGATGTCTTCTACCTAGCGACACTAAGGGCACTGACTGGCATAAGGGTACTGTGTTGGATAAATACGAGTGGCCAAACCTCAGCTCGGCCGTTACCAAAGTGACTCGGATTAACCCAGATAATGACAACAAAGAGGTGATCAAGGGACACTAGAAACTAAAGGGATGGGTTCTTCCTATCTTGGATCGGGGTCTGAGGTGAACGGCTAGAGCTGATGGCTGCGGCATACAGTGTTTCTGGAACAGCCTGGAAATGTATTATATGATTTAGTACTAGCTCCTAGCATCTAGACAGGGAATTGATTGGTTTCTGAGATATTTGTATTGCTTAGTAAACTTATACGGAGCTTAGTTATAACATATAGTAATACTAATAAACAGCCCCCGCCCGGGATAACCCCAAGGTATAAATACTCTTGAGAACGTCAACTCTTTTTTCCCTTCCCCTCCTCCCCTCTTTCTATATCCTAACCTCGCATAAAATCAGACCAATCTATCACGATGAAAGAGGATCTTGTTAGCATTGCCCAAACCGACCAGCTGGACAAGCTTCGTCATCTCTTGGACCTCGAGATAGCGCAGAACCCCCAGTTCCTAACTAGCCCTATCCATCTCACCACCCCGGCCATAGAAGCCGCGTGCTGCGCAGCGGCGCGCAGTAATAACCCTGCAGCGCTGGATATCCTTCTGGATAGCGGCTGTTCAATAACGTTGGGTGAGTACATCTTCAGCACTTACACACCTTTCTTAATAAAAAAAGCGTACTTAGCTTCTCCAAACATCAATATAGATCCAATCCTAGACGCTCTACACCTAAAGCACACAGCCATTCTAGATTGCATCCTTGCTCATAACTGGGACATCAACTCGACTTTCAGTCACTTTGACAACGCTCTGATGTAAGCCCGGCTGGGGTTGAATCTCTCGTTTTTTCTTTACTTCATAGGAAGGGTTCTCTAACGGGCGTTATTTACCAGTGTGGCGGCACGGGAGCGCGATGTCGAGCTAGTCCAATTCCTGCTGTCTCGCGGTGCCAATCCTGACTCAAAGAGCTTCGAAAACCCATTTAAGAACGCGATTGAAACGGCAGCTTTTACTGGTTCGATCCCGGTGGCTGATGCACTCTTGAATGCCGGGGCGGGTTTGAAGGGGTGTTCCGCACTGAGTAGAGCGGCGGGCGGGGGGCATGTTGCGATGGTAGCGTTCCTGCTGGAACGCGGCGCGGCGATTGATGAGGTCCCCATCAACCCGTATATTGTGGGGGACCCGTGGGAACCAGATGAGAAGAATGCGCTGTGCGAGGCAGCCTGGCGGGGACAGGCTGCGGTGGTGGAATTCCTGCTGGAAAAAGGGGCGGATCCTAGTATCAGAGACACAAAAGGCAGATCGGCGTTGGAGCTCGCGAAATCTGGAGGACATGAGTCCTGCATGAAGCTGCTGGACCACTAGCCTCCCTCAACATCTGAGCAACAGTACTACCTAGACTTCCGCACGACCCAATATAACCCAACCCAACCCGGACCCAACCCGGGCTGGGTTGGGTTTTGGGTCGAAGACTCTGACCCAGTGTTGGGTCCGGGTTACGACTGGGTAACCCAGCCTGGGTCTGGGGCCCCAACTTGGGTTACAAACATAACATAAATTCCAAGGCCTGGGACTACATAAATTATGCATTTTTTTGCCTGTAATAATAGGTATTTCCTCTACAACTAGATCAAGTTGATCTTGATAAAAGATAGAATTAGGAGAGGAAATAAGAATAAGAGAGACTAAGATACAGAACAAAGTATAAGAGAAATATATTTTATCTATTTTTCCTATCCCTTAATAGAAAGTTCAAATAAAATTTAACTAATGATACTCAAAGAGGTTATCATTACGGATCTTACGTTTCCTTTCTGAGGCCCGTACCTGGATATTATTCCTAGGTTGTGATAGCTGGGGCTCACCTATCTCATTTGCCTCGCTAATCTCAACCAGCTCTCCCTTATTGTCAATAATACTATCCTGTTCCTCAGTATCACTTATAAGATCTATTTCAATCTTATCAAGTTTTTCATCTTTCTCTTCCTTTGCAGCTTCTATTTCATCAGAAGAGAAGAACTTCTGAAGAAGCCGTTCAATCCCTGCACCTGTTGCGGTAAAGGAGAGTGCATCCCGCGCAAGAGCAGCAATTGCTGGAAAACGAGATTGGTTCTCTTTCCAGAACGCAAGAGGTGCGATTTGAATGGTGTCTATTAACTAGTATATTTTAGTCTAGACTTAGTTTAAATATACTACTGTCAAGATATTGGGTCATTTCGTCAGTAGCTGCATTTGTTTGTACCTCACTTTCATCTAACATCTTGTCAAGCTTTGAGCTTGGCCGAGCTGCTAATTGAGACCCATCTGAAGACTGGTTAAGAGTCGCAAGTTGCTCTTGATATTGAAATAGAGTCTCTTGGAAGGATTTACGATAGGTATCACGCCATTTCTGATTTCAATCTTTTGTAAGGAAAAATTTGAACTTATTCACTGGTACTAGCATCGTACTAACAGCATAAATATGCCCGTAAATATTATCAGTTTGAGAGTAGTACTCATTAAGCTTTGTCCGACCAGCCTCTAGTGCATGAAGCATTTGTTGTTGCCCCACATCGAACCACGAATAATTTCAACTAGTTAGTGATCACTGATCAGTCATCACTCCGATCATCCTGGCGGAGACGGCGTAAATCATGATCCGAAGCCACTGTGGAGGCTACTCCACTGTAAAGGCCAATGGGGAACAGTCAATGCTGAGCGCAGTTCCACTTCTGTAGCTTAGCAATCCATCTGGATGAGGTAGAGAGCTGTCGAATTTATGTACGGAGTAAGGCGCCATCAGTTGATCTTGTGTCAAACAAATAAATGCTTTGAGAATTTTCCTCCTACCTCAAATGTCATATTCTTTTTTTCTGAACCAGACATGAGTGCCTCCAAAGTTCTAGTGGTGGTCGGCATTACGGGAAACCAGGGGTCCTCTGTCGCAAATGCCTTCCTCAATCTCCAGGGCTGGCACATTCGTGGCATCACCCGAAACCCGTCCTCTCCCGCAGCCCAGCAACTGACCTCGAAGGGAGTGGAGATTGTGAAAGCGGATCTGGAGGACATCACTTCCCTCGAGAGTGCATTCCACGGCGCCTCTGCGATATTTGCAGTCACGGACATCTATAACCACATGTTCAACTCCGCCAACTTCACTAAGGCACAGGAAGCCGGAATAACCATAAATGAATATGCCTGCAACCTCGAGACCACACAAGCCATGAACATAGCAATCGCTGCTAATTCACCTGCCGTTTCCTCTACGCTCACGCACTTCGTCTTCAGCAGTCTTAGCGATACTAAGCGCTGGTCGAAGGGCAAGTACACCTGGAACTTCCATTTCGATGGCAAGGCACAAGCAGTGAAGCGCATTCGGGAGGAACTGCCGGACCTTGCTGCCAAGCTAAGCACTGTTCAGGTCGGAATGTATGCAAGCAACTGGAAGGGGGGGCTTGGGCGGCCTCAAAAGCAGGAAGACGGGTCTTTCGTTGTACAAATTCCTGACGGGCCGGAAGTTGAGCTTCCATGGATCGTCGTGGACCGAGACACAGGCGTCTATGTGAAGACATTGCTGGAGAATCCTCCAGGAAATAATGTTCTTGCGTATACCCAGATGACCACATGGCGTGAATTTTGGACGCTGTGGGCCGATGTTCGGAACGTTAAAATTGATATCAAGGTGGTTGGCCTGGACGACTACTTTAAAACACTGCCGGGTTTTCTTTCGAGGGAGTTCCAAGATTCCTTAAGGTATATTGTGGAATTTGGATATACTGGTGGGGACCCCGATGTGTGCTGCACGCTACAAGATCTGTCGCCGGAGGCTAGGACAGCAAGCCTGAAAGAGTACATAGAGGGTGAGGACTGGTCTAGTCTTGAGTAATATAAGCTCCGCTTGAGACGTATGAGACGTTGTGTATTAGTAAATGATTCTCAAGTTGACTACACCCGTCATCAAACGAGAAATTTCTAGGCAGAGTGGTCATCTTGCACGAGACTCCAACCCACCCGTCTTTTCAAACGTCGCTATTGAAATCCTTTGTAGCCCTCGAAACAATATCAGTATCTATATCAATATCATTATCCTTCATACTTTCTAAGCTTTCTGGGGTGAGTTAAGGAAACCCACAATTTTGCCCTTGTTTTCCTCATAGGCGAAAGATCCGCTCGAAATCAGTTTTACTACTTGACTGTCTCCGATTATATCCCGAAGTCTGTTTTGAATTACGCCATAGCTGTCATGGTTATCACACCTGAACAATCTTTTGGTGGGGCTACACACGAGTACGAATACGAATTGTTGTGTTATATGGCTGGTGTAGATCAGGAACCAAGCCGAATCATCGGAAATAACTTCTTTAGACAAGTTCTCCCTTCTTCTACCCTGTGTATGCGCTTGAAAGGGGCCGTTAGATGAAACATCGATGCAAATAGAATATACTGAGGTGTGGGAATCGGATAACGTTTTTTGCCATGAAGAGTAACCGCACCGTTTTCGGGAGCAAACCTTTGCCAAATCATGACACGGTTGCTCAGCTGGAACGCACCAATCAGGTTTCCCTCAGAGGCGCGGGACTTTTTCGCCGAGTCTTAGGCAGCCAAGACTTTCTTCATGCCGAAAATTCAATGTTCGGAGCGACCAACGTCCCATGGTGGGCAGATTTCCTCAGATCATTACCGCGTTGAGACAAAATCATCGCCCGAAAGGATTTGCAATTAGGCAACCCAAGATATATTTTTTGCATTTATGCGCTGTTAGACTGCTTTTATAAGGACTAGCGGCGGTGAAAACTTGGCTATTGCGTGCAGTGCACATTATGGGGAAGTTCTCTGTAGTCTTGTTGAGATAAGTGGCAGTTATTTGGGGTGGAGGATAGGTCAACCCTTGCGCTACCCAACAAATAGAGGCTGAGGCCCCAATCTTTCCTTTCGGTATTTTCATGGAGATAAAACCCATTGATTGTTGAGACTAGTTGCATTTAGGATTTGGGAGTCACAGCATAAGTCATGGGCGAATAGTTTGAAGGACTGCACAGTACACATCTCAGACATCAGGCAGTTGATGATCAAGGACTAGATTATTTTATGCAGGGCTTCCGGCGTATCCTAGACTCAAAGGATTTTACGATCGTGTAACAATGGTGGGAGCACGGCATAAAACTCTTGGGCTGGGCCTTGACTGTTCAACAGATGAGCCTTAGCTGTATAATCTGTTGCTGCCGCTCTACAGACAGATGGGGCTTTTGGCCATAGGTGATCGTTTTATGTCTGAGAATAATATATCTGTTGGAACAATATTGTCAACCAGACCAGAGAGGTGGAGTATCCTGGCCTAATCCACATACCGCATAGCACCTTGCTTGGCCTAGACTTGGCCTACCATTCCAAATGACATACCAATGGATCAGGAATGCATAGGTGTAAACAAGTGGAACTATATATGGCTAGGCAGATTGTAGTTTAGAAATGGCACTTCACTTCGCTGCCTCCTCTTCCTCAACTTCTCCAAAAGGATAATCTGTATACCCCACATTCTCTCTCCCAGCCTCAACGGCACTCGTATAAACGGTCTCCATGTTCCACTTGGTCAGTCTCTTCCCTAGCCTAAGCTTCTCTACCAGATCTGGGTTACTGATAAACCACCTCGCAAACGTGATCCCATCTACCTCATTTCTTTCTACCTCCTCAAAGCAATTCTCGCCATTGTAATTCCCGTTGGTCAATACTGGTGTTGTCTTCAGCACCTCCAAGAAGTGCCTGAGATGGAGATCTTCGACCGTAGCAGCCACTTTCCCCTCCCTGATAGCTGCGTACATGTTTTCGGTCTTAGTCTTCTCTTCGAGTAGAAGATCGGCCCGCGGCTGAGTGAGGCATACGTATGCGACTCCTCTCTTCTCGACTTCGCTCAACGCATACCGGAAGTTCGCGATAGGATCCGTATCTAATGGCAACCAAACCGTTCCCCATGGGCTCATTCGGATTGATACCCTGGATGCTCCGACAGCGGCGATCACCGCATCGAGGATTTCGAGCGTGAGTCGAGCTCGGTTCTCCTTATTGCCGCCGTATTCATCGGTACGGAGGTTAGTATTAGTATTGAGAAACTGGTCGAGTAGATACCCATTGCCGGACGACTGCATCTATCAGCTTCCATTATTATTTTTTAAAGGGAGACCGTTACCTACAATCTCAACACAATCAAACCCGGCCTCGATCGCGCATTTAGCAGCATGCACATGATCATCAATTGTGTCCTTGATATCCTGCAATGTCATCGGCTTGGCTGTCTCATGAGGATATTTGACGCCCCCGCGCGTGTTCCTGTTGAAATAGCCAATATTGGTTGCGGAAGAACTCAAGGGCTGGCGATCGCCCAGGGAGAC